CATATAACTCCCCTCCCCCCCTCCATCTCTCAGCGCCCCCTGCAGGACCACCTTCTGCTCCCACACTGTGCACCTCCCCCTCGTGCCCCCCTGACTCCTCCCCCTCCTTTCCCGCCCTGCGCCTCCCCACAGCCGCCCTCGACCCTCGTACCCAGCGCAGCCATCGGCGGTGGCGGGCAGTGAGCTGCAGCCATCCTGCAGCGAGCGGCTGGCGAGGCGGAGCCCACGCAGGACAGGGCGGGCTGGGTGTCCAGGCCACGCCTCCCACGGTGAGGTGCCCGTCCTGGGCCACACTCCCAGCCCCCTCCGCGAGCACAGGCTGTTCCCAGCGTGGGCGGCGTGGCTGGTGGGAAAGGCCCAGGGAAGGCGACTGGCATGGAAGGGCTGTCCTGGAGGAGTCAGGAGGGTGGGGGTGCCACAAGGCCATAGAAGGGGAGTGCATGCCTGGTCTGGGGCTTGCTCCTCCAGGGCTGGGTGGGCTAAAGGCCACTAGACCTAAAGCTTGCTAGGCCTGGACTGTGCACTGGCCCTTAACCTGCTGAGGGCCAAACCTTGCTAAGATAGAATGAGCACTGGCCCATAACCTGCTGAGGGCCAAACCTGTTAGTTCTTGAACAAAAGCCTGCTGTAATCTAAAGACTGTTTAGGCTCAACCCTTCCTAGGCCTAGCCAAGTCAACATAGATTGTACCATGCTAGGACCAAATCCATGTAAGACCAGAACCGTGTTAGACCAAGATCAACCCCAAAGCCTGCTAGGCCCCAACTCCACTGTGACCTGTTTGCTTGCTGCTTTTTCAAACAGGCCAGGTCATCATGGCAGCCACTGAAATTACTTTGGAGCAATTCACCAAAATCAAAGAGCTGGAGTTGACGCGGGAAAATGGCCTGGAGAGGGAGGAGGAGGAAGACGGAGTGTGCAGAGTGAAGGAGCACGGGACCCCTGGTGAGCTGGAGGCTGAGTGTGCCTATGGGGCCCTCCAGGCCAGGGTCATGGAAGGAGAGCTGGAGCTGGTGCCGGCCACCTCGGAGGAGAGCGGGAGGCATATGCTGTCCCTGCAGACAGTCGACCTCACTTCTGCAGATGTGGAGCTGCAGGACACTGGCTGGCTGAGCACACAGCAGCAGGAGGGGGTGCAGGTGGTGGTGCAGCAGGCAGGGAGCGGGCTGCCGTGGCTGCTGTGCCTGGGCGAGGGGCCCCAGCAACTCATGCAGCAGTGTGTGGCCCTTCCTATCCAGGAAGAGCTGTACTCGCTGCAAGTGGAGGTGGTGCAGTGTCACCTTCTGGAGGAGGAGCTGATGGTGGCCAGCGAAGACAGTGAGTTAGTGGTGAACCTGGCTGAAAGCACTGGATTGATCGAGGTACAGCTGGCTTTAATAAACCAACCCCTTACGCAGAAAATTTTTTAAAAAAACTATTTTCTTAAGTCTGCCTTTGTGCAATTCTATGTATGGACACGGTATTTTGCAGTTTAAAATTAATGCAGTAAAAATACTTCCCCAGAAAACTTTGAGAGACCTTATGTTCTTTGTTTTAAAGAACTTTAAAATTTACATTAATTAGAATACTATAAGGTGCGTGTGTTAAAAAAAAAAAGTTGCATTTCACCTCTCAAACCGACCTTATGTTCTTTGTTTTAAAGAACTTTAAAATTTACATTAATTAGAATACTATAAGGTGCATGTGTTAAAAAAAAAAGTTGCATTTCACCTCTCAAACCCTGATGCTAAGTGATGATGGCTTAAGCATTTTGGTTGCAATGCATAATCTTTAAGTTTTGCTTTTTTTTATGCATTCTACGAATCATCAAGGTGAAGTGTTTAATCAGACAGTATCTTATTTGTTTGAAAACTTATTTTTGTTTATTAGCTTGAGAAAGGTCAGGAGGAGGACCAGCTGTTGGCTGAAGGAGGGTTTGCTCAGAGAACCGAAGAGCAGACAGCGAGGCCCGGAGAGGAAGGAAGAGACAATATTGTTCCAACAATTTCAAATTTAAACTTGGAAGAACAAGAAGATAAACTTACATCTGAGCAAGAAAATGTTGAAAAAGCCAATTCTACAGAAAATCGAAGAAAGACAAAGGGTAGGCGAGTTCATCCTGCATGAAACTGGGCTGCTGTTTTTCTTTATGGGAAGGTGATGGTAACTGAAGTTTTAAGTGGATTACTTTTTTTTATTTGCTTTCAAAATGTCAGTAAATGGGAAAAATTTTAAACTAATGTTCTATTGTGATTCAAATCCAAAAGAGTTTTGCATTTTGCACACAAACGTTTAAAAAGCACAGTAAAAATGTTCCCACAAAACATTGTGCACATGAATAGAATGCCTGGTCTGCTCTCTAGTTTGCACACAGGGAGTTTGGGAGGAGGGAGGGGGAAAGGGGACCAGTAATTATAGGACAGGGTGGCAGGAGGCAGTAGAGGCTGCCTTTAAAGGAGGTGATATTTAGGTGAGTCCTGGAAGCAGTACTAGGAAACCATTAAGAGTGGGGATCGTCATTCTGGGGAACAGGAAATGGTCTGTGTGTGTAGCTCCAAAAGTGTATGCCTTGTGTGTGAGGGCGGACAACTCTACTGTGTCCAGAGAGCCACTCATGTTGAGTAGGTGAGTACTGAGAGATATGGATCCAGCCAGATTAGGAGAGACCTTGAGGCTATATTAAAGCCATATTAAGGCTGAGATTACATCACAGTAGCCCACAGGATGAATTTGGCCCTCAAAAATGACCTGTTTAAGGGCCGGCCCGTGGCTCACTTGGGAGAGTGCAGTGCTGATAACACCAAGGCCATGGGATCCCTATATAGGGATGGCCGGTTAGCTCACTTGGGAGAGCGTGGTGCTGACAACACCAAGTCAAGGACTAAGATCCCCTTACCAGTCATCTTTTTAAAAAAAGTTCTGTTTGGCTTCTTTTTTAAAAAATACTAGTTTCTTTAAGTCAAAAGATTTCACCCTAAAATCTCAATTTCTAGCCTATTTTTAGAAAGTCATACTGGCCAACACTCAGCACTCTGTTTCCTCCTTCCTCCTGGCAACAGGTGGCTGGGGTTGAGAGGTAAATCCATTTAGAAAGAGTGGTGTGCTGTCCAGCCAGACGGCCATCCCCCCACCCCGCCCCGTCCTTCTTACATGTGGTCAGGGCCATTCATTCATGTTTCTTGACTCTGGCTTTCATAGATGGTTGAATTTGCAGCCCCTTGCTATATGTTAGTTTCTCATATATTTAAGTCAAGAGATTACACCCCAAAATTTCTAATTCCTTGTTCATTTTCAAGTTTTTAATGTATTCACAATTTTTGCAACCATCACCACTATCTAATTCCAGAATGTTTTCATCACCCGCAAAACACACCTATACCCTTATGGGCAGTTACTTCCCACCTCCCTCCCCCCAACCCTTGGCAACCACCAATGTACTTTCTGTCTCTGTGGATTTTCCTATTCTGGACAGTTCACGTAAGTGGAACCATGCACATATAGTGTCACCTCTTGTGTCTCGATTCTCTCACATGTTTTCAAGGTGCATCCATCCATGTTGTAGCATGTATCAGTGCTTTATTTCTTTTTAATGGCCAAATAATACTCCATTTTATGGATGCACCATATTTTTTTTATTTATTTATCGATCTATTTATTTATCTATACATTTAGGATGTTTCTACCTTCTAGCTAGTGTGAATGGTGCTGCTGTGACCGTTCGTGTACAAATTTTTGTTTGAACACCTGTTTTTAATTCTTTTGGGTTGAGGAGCAGAATTTCTAGATCATATGGTTACTCTATGTATAATTTTTTGAGAAGCTGCCAAACTCTTTTTCATAGCAGCTGCACCAATTTACATTCCCACCAGCAGTATATGAGGGTTCCAGCTTCTCCGCATCCTCACTAAACTTATTTTCCTAGTGGGTGTATAGAGAGGTATCTCATTGTGGTTTTGATTTACATTTCCCTATTGACTCATGGTTTTGAGCATATTTTCATGTGCTTATTTGCCATTCGTATGTCTTTTCTGAAGAAATGCCTATTCAAATCCTTTGCCCTTTTTAAAATTGCCACCTATATTAGTTTCCTAGGGCTGCCATAACAAAGCTGCACAAACTGAGTGGCTTAAAACCACAGAAACATACTCTTGTCAGTTCTGGAAGCTACAAGTCTGAAATCGAGGTGTCAGCAAAGCCGTGCTCTCTTGGAAGTCTCCAGGGAAGAATGTATTCCATGCCTTTTCTCTTAGCTTCTAATGTTGCAAGCAATCATGACATTACTTGGCTTATAGATGCATCACTCCAGTCTCTGTTATCACATGGAATTCTCCCGTGGGTTTGTCCCTTTTCCTCTCTTATAAAGACACAGTTATATTGGATTATGGCCCACGTTCATCCGGTATGACCACATCTTAATTTGATTGCATCTGCAAAGACCCTGTTTGCAAATAAGATCACATTCACAGGTATCTGGCATTAGGATTTCAACATATTTTTGCAGGGCCACAATTCAACCTATAAACCTTCTATTCCAAGTTTGTTGAATATTTGATCAAGAACAAGGTATTGGATTATGTGAAATGCTTTTACTGCATCTATTGAGATGATCACATGTTTTGTTCCTTCATTCTTAATATGGTGTATTATGTTGATTGGGTCTTGTATATTGAACTACTCTTCTATTCCTGTGATAAATCCCACTTGGTCATGGTGCATAATCCTTTTATTTTGTGGCTGGATTTGGTTTGCTAGTACTTTGTTGAAAATTTTTGCATCTATATTCATAAAGGATATTGGTCTGTAGTTTTCTCTTGATGTCTTTCAGGCTGTCATATCAGAGTAATACTGGCCTCGTGGAATGAATTGGGAAGTGCTTTCTTCCCTTTTATTTTTTTGAAGAGTTTGAGAAGGATTGGAGTTAATATTTAAGCAATTGATAGAATTAATCAGTGAAGCAATCTGGTCCTAGGGTTTTCTCTGTTGGAAGTTTGTTGATTGATGACTAAATCTCTTCAGTGTTATCTATTCAGATTTTCTATTTCTTTTTGAGTCAGCTTTGGCAGTTGATATGTTTCTAGGAATTTTCAATTTCACCTAGATTGTTTAATTTGTTTGTAGTGTTCTCTTATAATCCTTTTTATTTCTGTGAGATTGGTAGTAATGTCCCACTTTCTCCTTTTAATAATTTGAGTATTCTCTATTTTTTCCCTTGGTCACAAGTCTGGATAAAGGTTTGTCAATGTTGATCTTTTCAAAGAACCAACTTTCAGTTTGTTGATTTTTCTCTATTTTCCTATTTAATTTTTCTCCTCTCTAATCTTTATTATTTCTTTCCTTCTACTAGCTCTGGGTTTAGATTTATCTTCTTTTTTTTAGTTCCTCAAGGTGTAAAGTACATTATTGACCTTAAATATTTCTTTTTTTTTTAAATGAAGGTGTTTACAGCTAAAAATTTCTCTCTGAGCACTGCTTTAGGTGTACCTCATAAGTTTTAGTGTCTTGTGTTTTTACTTTCATTTATCTCAAAGTACTTTATAATTTTCTTGAGATTTCTTTTTTGATCCCTTGGTCATTTAGGAGTGTGCTGTTTAACTTCCACATATTTGTGAATTTTCCAAATTTTCTTTGGTATTAATTTCTAATATTATTCCATTATTGCCAGAGAACATACTTTGTATGATTTCTGTCTTTTTAAACCTGTTGAGATGTATTTTGTTGCCTAGCATATGGTCAGTCTATCCTGAAGAATACGCACCTTTTAAAATCTACATTGTCTGATATTAGTATAGCCACCCCAGATCTTTTTTGGTTACTGTTCGCATGGAATACTTTTCCATCTTTTACTTTCAGCCCACTTGTGTCTTTGAAACTAAAATGAGTTTCTTGTGGAAAGCAAATAGTTGGATCATGTTTGTTATTCTTTATGCTAATCTCTGCCTTTTAATTGAAGAGTTTAATCGACTGACAGATAAAGAAGGACTTACTTCCCATTTTTCTATTTGTTTTGTAAATGCCATAGCTTTTTATTATTCAGTTCTTCCATTATTGCTTTCTTTTGGTGTTAAATAGCTATTGTCTAGTGTATTTTAATTTTTCTGTTATTTATTTTATTATATATTTTTGAGTTATTTTCTTTGCATGCCCTTGGGATTACATTTAACACCTCAATTTATAACAGTTTAGTTTGGATTAATGCCAACTTAATTTCAATAACATATAAAAAAGTCTTTGCTCCTATATAGCTGTATTCCCCACCCCCCTTTTCTGTTGTTACTGTCACAGTACATATTTATACATTATATGCCTATCAACGTAGATTTATAATTATTGTTTTACATTGTTATTTATTAAATTAGGTAGGAAAAAGAGGAATTACAAATAAAAAGTACATGAATATTGTCTTTTGCATTTACATACGTAGCTACCTTTATCCGTGTTATTTCTTCATATGGAGTCGTTATTGTCTAGAGTCCTTTCATTTCAACCTGTAGGAGTCTCTTTAGCATATTTTGTAAGCACAGATCTGCCAGTGACAGAACTTGGTCCATTTTTATTTATCTTGGAATATCTTAATTTCTCCTTCATTTTTGAAGGATAATTTTGCCAGATATAGAATTCTTGTTTGACAGGCTTTTTATTTTCTTTCAGCATTTTGAATATGTGATTCCACTGCCTTCTGGCCTCCATGGTTTCTGATGAAAAATCAGGCTGTAATCTTACTGACAATCCCATGTATGTGATGAGTCACTTCTCTCTTGCTGCCTTTGAAATTCTCTCTTTGTCTTTTAACAGTTTGATTATAATTTATCTTGATATGGATCTCTCGGCCTCCATGGTTTCTGATGAAAAATCAGGCTGTAATCTTACTGACAATCCCATGTATGTGACGAGTCACTTCTCTCTTGCTGCCTTTGAAATTCTCTCTTTGTCTTTTAACAGTTTGATTATAATTTATCTTGATATGGATCTCTTTAAGTTTATCCTCTTTGAAATTTGTTGAGCCTTTTGGATGTGTAGATTGTTTTTCATCAAATTTGGGAAGTTTTGGGCAGTTTTTTCTTCAAATATTCTTTCTTCCTCACTCTCTGGGACTGTCATTATGCATATGTTGGTGTGCTTGATAGTGTCCCATAGGTCTCTTAGGCTCTGCTCATTTTTCATTTCATCAAATTTGGGAAGTTTTGGGCAGTTTTTTCTTCAAATATTCTTTCTTCCTCACTCTCTTTCTGGGACTGTCATTATGCATATGTTGGTGTGCTTGATAGTGTCCCATAGGTCTCTTAGGCTCTGCTCATTTTTCACTTTTTTTTCTGTTCCTCAAACTGAATAATCTCAATTGACCTACCTTCAAGTTCTTCTTTCTTTCTGCTCAGATCTGCTGTTGAGACCATCCAATGAGTTTTTCACTTGTTACTGTACTTTCTAATTCTAGAATTTCTGATTTATAAATAAGTTCTATCTTTATATTTTCAATTTGGTGAGGCATCATTTTTATGGTTTCTTTACACAGTTTTTTTTTTTTGTCTTTGAACATATTTAAAATAGTTGCTTAAAGTCTTTGGCTGGTATATCCTACCTTCAAGTTCTTCTTTCTTTCTGCTCAGATCTGCTGTTGAGACCATCCAATGAGTTTTCCACTTGTTACTGTACTTTCTAATTCTAGAATTTCTAATTTATAAATAAGTTCTATCTTTATATTTTCAATTTGGTGAGGCATCATTTTTATGGTTTCTTTACACAGTTTTTTTTTTTTTTTTTTTGGTCTTTGAACATATTTAAAATAGTTGCTTAAAGCAATGTCTGGACTTCCTTAGGGACAATTTATTTTTTTCTCTCTGTATAAGCTATCTTATGTTTTTCTTTTTTGTGTATGCCTTGTAATTTTTTGCTGAAAACTGGACACTTTTAACAGTATAATGTGGCAAGTCTATAAATCAGATTCTTCCTCTCCCCGGAGTTGATTGTTGCTGCTTGTTATGTTTGTTGTTTCTTTGGGAATTTTTCTGAACTAACTTTGCAAACTCTGTGTAATTTTTTGCTGAAAACTGGACACTTTTAACAGTATAATGTGGCAAGTCTATAAATCAGATTCTTCCTCTCCCTGGAGTTGATTGTTGCTGCTTGTTATGTTTGTTGTTTCTTTGGGAATTTTTCTGAACTAACTTTGCAAACTCTTTATTCTTGCTTTGTATAGCCACAGAAGTCTCTGCTAATAATTGAACAAAGATTTCCTTAAACACTTGAAACCAAAAAAATCTCCCAGTCTTTGTTGAAGAGCTCTGTGTGTTTGCTTGAGTTGGCCTTTCCAATATTTATCCAGGAAGTTTACAACTCTGCCTTAGCCTTCACTTCCTGCTTCTTCAGAACCTCAAGGTCAGCCAGGGGTGAGAGCTTAGGGTCTTCTCAGGTCATACCTAAGCCCTAGGCATATGCATGGCCTTCTATACTCCCAGGAATATGTTGGAGCTTTTCAAAGCCCTTATTCTCCAAAGCATCTCATTCCTCAGCCTTTTCTCCCAAGTTTTTTGTTTAGTCTGTTATTTGCCCTGTTATTCATTGCCTGCAAGTATTTTCAACAAATGTCCCTCCACCTACCTTTCCCTGGGCAGCCTCTTAGCACTGGATGAGTTCCAAGTTAGGTGAGATAAAGGCAAGACTTTTGAAGTGGTTTTCCAGGGAGACACCAGGCAGATCAAAAACAAATAATTTAAATTTTGTTCATGAGGTTCATTCTAATGTCTTCAGTCCTGGTATTGTGCATTCTGACTTGGAGTTTCAAGGCTACCACTAGGGACCAGGGAACAGGACCAGAATAAATTAAAACTCCATAAATCTCTCCGTTTTTACTGAGAACCAGCCGGATTTTTTTTATTAAGTATTCCTGTGGTTGCTGCAAGTTTTTGATTGTTTTCCAGTGTCCCAAAAAAAGGTGATTCTGCCGGTTTCTGCCAGCTTTTTCATTGCTTGTGTGGAAGGATAGATTTTGGGAGTTCCTTGCTCCACCCGGTTGTATTCTGTACTTAATAATTATAACATCTGAAGTCTTTGTAGGTCTGAGCATTCTGCTTTTCTGCTGGCTCTTGCATCAATATCTTGTTTAGTCAGTAAGAGATTTTTTTTTTTTTTACGTGTTACTTGTGGGAATTCTTTGAAGACTGGGGGGCAAGTGGGTTCTCTGAGGGAGGGTTTGTATTGATTTTAACAATTTTAAATCCAATCTTAGTCACACATGGCTAGTGGCTGTGGTTTTAGACAGCACCGGTAGCCCCCTGGCTGGGGTGAAGAATGCAGGGGTAGGATGGGTTGTCCCCAGTTCACCTACAGAGAAGGTGTCCCTTCAGTGCCCCATTGTTACGGGAGAATCTCTTTGGACTCCCCGCCCTGGGGAGGCACGAAGCTTTGCCTCATGTCCCTTCGATCTACACAGCATTCTAAAATGTTAAGAGATTTCTGCTCCCCCAGCAGGAAGGATGAGCAGAGGACCTTGGCCACCATGTGGCCCGAAGCAGAAGGTGCTGATTTCGTCACCATGAAAATGTGTCACTCATCATCCAGGAACCTTATCCTGAATTGTTTTAATCAGCTTGTAAAATAAATTGTGTTTCTGTCGTCGAGTTATCACTTTAGGCTAAAAGGAGGTGCCAAATTACTTTAATGTGTTTAAATGGAATTTGAACTTCTAAGGAAAGATTTTTACAAATATATAAATTCTGTATCTTTCTCCTGTAGGAGCAAAACAAACCTACCACTGCGATAGCTGTGTGTTCACCTCTTCTAGAATGTCAAGTCTTAATCGCCATGTGAAAACTCACACCACCAAGAAGCCCCACATGTGCCACCTTTGCCTGAGATCTTTCCGCACCGTTACCCTCCTGCGGAATCACATCAATACCCACACAGGTAAGACAGCCGGAAAGGTATCGACATCGTGTAACATACATCATTCATGTCTCCCTTGAATGATGTATGCTAAGGCTTATGTAAGAATGCAAATCCACCTACTTCTGCGTTACATAATGTATTGTTTTATACTTTAGTTTTGTCTTTTTTTTTTTGAATTTTGATTAAAAACACTGAATCTTGAAAAGACTTTTTTCACATGCATCTGTGGTGTTTATAGTTTAGAGAGCCTCTTAATTTTTAAAGCATTTTGAGACTGAGTGTAATTTAGAAGTTATAGATTTCTTAGAAATTTTGTGATTAGATCTTGTGTTGTAAGTATAAACTATGTGATTTTACAGGAACCAGACCCTATAAATGTGACGACTGCGACATGGCATTTGTCACCAGTGGAGAACTCGTCCGACACAGGCGTTACAAACATACTCACGAGAAGCCCTTTAAGTGCTCCCTGTGCAAGTACGCTAGTGTAGAGGTAAGTCCACTCTCATACTTGAAGCTTTGTGGTGTCTTAGTATGGAGTTGCTTTGAAAGTTTTGCTAAGTGTAACGGTAGAATCTGTTACAAAACAGATTTTACTGGAGATATGATTCGTATAAAATTTATGCAGGAAATAATATGTATTCTACTTTCTAAATTTAAAATAGGAAATTGAATTTATTTTTTTCTTTGATTACTAAATAGTGAAAATGATACATAAATGTGTACAAATTAAAAATAAAATTACTTATAGACAGAAATAATTCTTAGATTTGTCAAAAAGTCCTGTCTAGTATTTTATGTAGCACTAGGTGACACAAAATCAAATGTATTTGCTCTAACACAGAATGCAGATCCATTCTGAAGTTTTACGGTAATTATCGATCTTACTTCTGTGCCACTTGGTCAGACATAAAGCAGCTTGCTTGAAGATTTAAGCATAGCCATTTCCACTCTTAATTACGGGGAGATCACCCTTCACAAACTTTAGCCATGTGTCGTGGTCATTTCAACTAGGTTGTTTTCTTTATACCTCCTAGCAGGTAAACTACAGCAGAATGTTACATTTACTTGTCAATGTCAGTTTTCTACCATTTAACTTTGAAGGGTTCTACTGTGTGTGAGGAAGCAGGCTGGTCTTGGTGTTGAAGCCAGTCGGGGAGAGATAAACAATTTGCTGGAACGGAACAAGGTTAAAGGGGACGGCTAAAGTTTAAATACAGTGATGATGCAACCGTGTTTCATAAGTTAGAAGATTGCACAGACAGAGTCAAAATTTGATTCCAAGAGTTTTTTTCCTGCTATTACTATTTTTAAAAAATTATTTCTCATCTGAGTTAAAGGTTGTGACTGTGGTTTGCAAATATAAAACTAAGGTTTCAGAGAATGAAGCCACCTGGGAATCCTGAGCCTGGAATGGGCTTTTTGTTGGTGCCCTGCCAGTTCTCAGCATGAACTTCCCAGTTCTGCTGCGAACCTTCCCCGGGGTCAGTGTCTGCACGCCTCCGCCTCCGCACCTGCACGTGGACACTCTGCTGTGTCACATTTCCCATTTTTGGATTTTCCAAGCCTTGCCATGCTGGTTTGCTTTAAGGCAGGGTAGACTACCCCCAACCTTACATACATCCTGTTACACATATGCCATCTGGAATGTATCGGAGCTATGGCACACATGCCGGTTTTTGAAAGCTTCTGAAGTCCCCTCATCTGCCCACCCCACCTTTAGAAGCCTCCGTGAGAGTCAGTTTCATGCACTGCTTTCTTTGATCATTCCCACCGCTTATCGTACTCAGACCTTTCACAATGTAATGTTTAAAATTCTTTTTGTTTTGCTTTCTAATGTACTTGAAGACATCCACCTTTCTAAAAATCTGACCTAAATTTTTCAGTTTGGATCTTGTTTTCCATTCTGATCCTTCTTTGGTGCCTTCTCAGGCTTCTGTGTCCTCATCACGTGCTGGGGAAGCAGACCCAGTGCAGCCTTCCTGAGATCATAGCAGGGCTGATGTGGACAGTCAGCTGGACTGTGGTTGATTGCCCTGTTTCCTGCTGAAAGTAGATATGGGCCTGCAATAAGCAAATGTGGAATTAGAATAGTCTAGAAGGCAATAAAACATTCAGACGAAAAATGGTCAAATGGGAGGTATTGTGGTGTTTGCTATCTAACTAATTGCCTGCGATACGTAATTAATCAAATTAGAATTTACTTTCTTCTACTTAAAACTTATTTCCTACACTTAATATCAAGGAAGACCTTCTGCCATTTGTGTGCCGTTATTCTTGTGGCCAGTCAGGGTGTCTGCAGGACTCGTAACTGTGAAGTGCTTTATACAGACATCCTTCCACTTTAGAGCTAATGATTTAAGATTTTTGCTTTATGCAGAAAAGAAAAAAAAAATTTTGACATTTGTGCTTCTATAGTGTGATCTACACTTTGCAGCCACTGACAGTACGTTGCCTTAGAAATAAAAATAATATTACGTATGGCATTGAGCAGTTAGGTTTTAATTTTCCCTTTGTAAAGTGAAGTCGAATGTGAAAGTCTCTTGAAGCTCCTGCTCACTAGACCCCAAAGGGTCTTAGACACATACATCAAATGACAATATAAAAAGCAATGACTTATTCAGGTTTTTCAGTAAGTGAACTATGCCCTGATGTTAAAATCTGGTTAATTTAAATCTCTTTTTATGATGCTGACTTTACAACTTTTAAGTTTCTTTGGCAATAAATATCTTTCATTTGTTTATCAGGCAAGTAAACTGAAGCGCCACATACGTTCGCACACAGGAGAGTGCCCCTTTCAGTGCCACCTCTGCAGCTACGCCAGCAAAGACAGCTACAAGCTGAAGCGGCACATGCGAATACACTCAGGTAAACGTTTCTCACATGCAGGGCCAAGGAGGTGCAGGAGAGTTTCATTTTTCAAAGTGTCTGAGCTTCTAAAAATTACTCTTCAGTGGCAAAATTAAAGATGGAATTTAAAAGTGGACTTGCACATACCTTTTTGACAAGGGGATTTGCACGGTACTTCTGCATTCATTTGGCGCCAGGGGAGACGGCACAGACGCCGTTGCTGCAGCTGCCTGGTGATAAGTCCAACACCACAAAGTACTCGTTTCCGTAGGTTTTTCGGATATTTAAAAGGCAGCTTTTTAATTCATCCTTTAACTTTCAGGCAAAACTTGAAACAAAGTGTGCTGGTTTCGTAACAGGTGTACTGTATGTTTTATTGTATAAAGAATGCGTTTATGTATATTTCTTGGTTCCTCACATGACCCCACGGACACACGCTCTGTCCCTACCTCGGACGAATGAGTCTGCAGTTATCAGGGAGGTCTGTCTCTGGACCACTGTGGGCCTGACCTAGGAGTCTTACACTAATTGGGGGTTTAAACCTATGAGAAAGGGGTTGAAAAGGGAGCCTTGGGAACAAAAGAACAGCTTCCAGCACCGGATGTCCTTTGTGTATCACAGGTGAGAAGCCGTACGAATGTCACATCTGCCATGCCCGATTCACCCAGAGTGGGACCATGAAAATACATGTTCTGCAGAAGCATAGTGAGAACGTCCCCAAACACCAGTGCCCTCATTGTGCCACCATCATTGCGAGGAAAAGTGACCTGCGTGAGTGTCTGGTTTAATGATCTTTCTGTTACTGCAGTATTTGCTGGCTCTTTGTAAACCTGCAGCTGTTAGTCCTAGATGCTTGGAGGCATCAAGATGCTGGGAGATGGCAGGTCTTTAGGAGCTTCTCCCTAGGATGAGTTTTCTTTCAGAGGTCCTATGGCACCACCTGGTGGCTAGGTTGCACAAGTGCAGTTTTGTAACATGTTTTCAGAGTGCTGACCCAAGGCTGGTTCCATACACAGTGGTCCCTCGGTATAGGCAGGGGATTGGTTCCAGGACCCTGTGGATACCAAAAACTGCAGGTGTTCAAGTCCTTGATATAAAATGTTGTAGTATTTGCATTTAACCTACATACATCCTCCCGTATGCTTTAACTCATCTCTAGAACATATAATACCTAAAACAACATAAATGCTATGTAAATAGTTGTTATACTGTATTTCCAGTTTGTATTTTTTTTTTACTGTTGTATTGTTATTTTTTAAATAATATTTTCTATCTGCTGTTGGTCAAGTCCGCAGATGCAGAACCCACAAACATGGAAGGCCGACTGTACCCATGATAAGACCTCACAGATATTTGAGCTAATAAAGCACTTTCACAGTTATTATTTTATTCCATGTTGGGCCTGTTTTACGGATGAGGACACTGGGGTTCAGAGACATAGTGTGAACTGCCTGAGAATCACGTGACCGGGGATGCTAGGAGACAGCCAGGTTATAGGTTTTGACTCAGTGTTCCGCCAGAGATACTCAGCAAGCTTTTGTAATCCCTTGGCGTGAGCTTAACAAGTTCTGGGAGCCTAGAATACAAAAATAAGAACCGAGACATAGTTCTCCCCTTAAGGAACTCACTTCAGTTAAAGAGGCAGGCCTATGACTTGAAGTCCGTATTCTAACATGACAAGCCCTCTTATCAGTACGGAACAACACAGAACAAGAATAGAATCATCAGGACAGCTCTGCAGGCCAGACTTGGGGTTTCAGCCGCCTGCAGGGAAAACCAGCCAGTCTTTAGCAGTGGGGAGAGGAGCAGGAACAGAGTGTGAATGAGCCTCTCATCTGTGCTTCAGGGTTCCTAGGCCTCCATTTTTTTGTGACCTTTTCTCTCTTTCCCAAATGCATGGCCCCAACATATGTTAGAAAAAATAAAAATTCACCAGTTTGCCCAGAGAAATTCTGGAGATGAGGTGAACTGTTTTATAAACATTTCTGAAAGAGTAAAGGTGTTTAACAAAGTCTTAACTTTTATTTTTCATCTGGAACATTGTCAGTGTTGCCATAGATACCAGTACACCATGAAACACAGCCTGGTAGGAACTGGTAGGGCACAAGGATCATGAGTCTGTTGTCTAGAAAAGATACAAGACTTTTTTTGACAACGTGAAAAAGTAGCATAGTTTATATCTCATGCCAGTAGGTGACACACTTCGTATATCCCCTGTAAGATGCTTTGTAAACATGCTAAATCGTCCTTCCTGTTGCCGTAGAAGGAAGCCAAGTTCTTTAAATGTTTGAATCAGTATGGTAGGGTGTGCCTCTGTCATACACTTGTCTATTTTTCTTCAGCCTCTTACACAAAGTATCACAAAACTACCATGTTTTAGACTCAGTTGAGCGAAAGTTATTCTGGAATGTACCCAGTCAGACTTTATTTACTACATATCTCAGGTTAGTTACAGTGTAGAAAATAACAGGGTATTGACCTCTAACGGAACATCTGCGCTTTTTTTTAAAGTTAAAATACAAAGATTAGATCTTTGTTATGTAAAGCCACCTTAACGTTATGCTAAAATTGACCTATATCATAATAAGGTTTTCAAGGTGCTTTGTTAAATGAACACCTTAGGTCCAATATGACCTGCCTTATATAATATTTAACTCCATATTGAAAGGGCATTAAAATGATTTTTTAGTATTCTGTTCATTTACAGCGGTGGTTCTCAACTGGGAATGATTATACCTCCTGGGGGATGTTTGGCAATATCTGGATGTATTTTGGATGTCAGAATTGAGATAGAAGGGGTGCTGCTAGTATCTACTGGGGAGGGGCCAGAGTTACTGCTGAGTATCCTACGATGCACGGGACAGCCCCTCCCCACCAGCTCCAAATGTTAATAGTACCAAGGCTGAGAAACCCTGATTTAAGGTAGGGGGCAGCTGGCCTAACAGACAATAACACTCTTCAAGTATGCCATGTTCTGTAACTGTTTTAGGTGTCCATTTGCACAACTTACACACCTACAGCGCCGCAGAGATGAAGTGCCGCTACTGTTCCGCTGTCTTCCATGAGCGCTATCCCCTCATTCAGCACCAGAGAACTCACAAAAATGAGAAAAGATTCAAGTGCGAACACTGCAATTACACGTGCAAGGAGGTACCGTGCTGGAGTCGATTTGAGGAGGCAGTGGGACTTGGGAGAGGGGGGGCTGGAGTGGGGTTCTCTACCTCTTGGAAAATATTGAAAAAAGTCATGCTTTAATATAATAAGCCTATTCAGAGTAGCCAGAAAACAGCCATGAGCCAATAGTTTATAGCAACAGTTCTTAAAGTATGTCACAGACCCCTAGAGGTCCTTACAACCAATTAGGGGCCCACAGGATCCGAGCCGTTGTCATTGCCCTTTTCACTGTATTGACATTTGCACCCATGGTGCCAAAGCAATGGTGGTGTCTTAGCATGAATCAAAGCATTGACACCCAGTCAGACTGGTCCTCACTGTATTTTTCACCTTCATGCACTGACAGCAAAAATAAAGGGTAGTTTCACTTAAGAATGTCCTTGACAAAGTAGTGAAAGTTTTTAACTGTGTTATATCTTGATCCTGGGTACTTTCTTTTTAACATTCTGTGTGATGAGATGGGAAGCTGGTGTAAAGCAGCCCTGCTGTCTTCCAAAGCCCTGTGGGCGTCTGGAGGAAAAGCCCTGTGGCACTATTTGAGTTGCCAGCTCCACTAGCCATGTGCTCATGGAATACCATTTTCACTTGAAAGAAAAAGTGACAGATAAACTCTGCTAACTTGGTTATTAGGCATTTGGTGGACATTTTCTTAAAAATGAACATGAACCTGCCCCTTTAAGGGAAATGTGTTACTACTGATACCTCTTCACCTTTCAGGAGAAAATTAGAATTAGAATTTTGGAAAATTTATATTCATGACTTTGGGCTTTTAAGCTTTCTAATACTTAAGACTTTTCTGATAAGGTTGGGATGATTTTTAAAAAACATTTTTAAAAAAATATATATGTATATATAGTCTCATGAAATGTGTCAACATTTAGAACATCTTCATGACTCAGTAAACTGACATTTTCCAAATGACAACTCCATAATGTTACAGAATCATGCATGGGTGAAAGACCCATTCAAAGTACAAGATAGACCAGTGGATATCAATGAAACAGAAAAGTTCATTGGTACGGCTTCAGAGTCCACACTGCAATTAACCTTTAAGAAATTACCACTCGAGTTTGGGTTTAATATCAAAGAGTGTCCACAATTATTTGAAAAAGTTACTAAAATTCTGCTCCCTTTTTCAACTACACGTCTGTGAGACCATATTTACTTTCATATAAACTTCAGCATACCCCAGCAGATAGAGGGGAGTAGCAGAGATGGGAGTCCACCTGAACTGTTTAAATAGGGTTGTCAGACTTAGCAAATAAAAATATAGGACACCCAGTTAAATCTGAATTTTAGATAAACAGTGAGTAGTTTTGTACATATGTATGTCCCAAATATTGTGGCCTATATTTTAACTGGCAACCTTATCTATTAAGCCAGACATTGGTGTTTTTTTGTTTTAAAAAATAGGTAATATATTTTTATAGAAATATGTTAATATGTAGTTGGTTTATTTTTAAATGAACTGATACATTTTAAAATTTTTCTAAATATTTTTAAATTTCTCAGTTTTAATTTTTAATCAATATTAATACATAATACCTGCATAAACAGACGCTCTTTGGAGGGTTCAGTAATTTTTAAAAGCATAATGGGTCCTAAGACCAGAAGTTTGAGAACCAAACCTTTGCTTTAAAGCATTGTCTGCTATTGTGACTGTGTCGCGACTGGTTATCAAAAGTGGAAATCAATACTTAATGTGCTTTAAAGTGTGGGCTATGACTAATAAATGCTTAGAATAAAGAAAAGAGGGGTTTTTTTTTAGTGGAGTTTGAGCATAGAATGTTCTGAGGCCCCAGGCTCATATTTGTTAAAGGAACTAGAAGAGCTTTCTGGAAAATGGATAAGGCTTGGAGAGGAGGAGAAGGGTTCTGGAGAGAGGAAACACCGGGTATTTGGGAGAGGAGAGAGCAGCAGGTGTTCCTTGGTCACAGGTGGGGGTGGGAGATGGGGCCAGAGCACTGCTAGGCACTCCCAGCCTCGTGGCCTTGCAGAGCAGGCATCCAGCCAACGTCCAGAGACCACATGATGCTGGCCTGGGAGGCAGGGGAGGTAAATCGTGTGTGGGGAAGAGGGTGTTCGGTGAGTTGGATGAGAAACTGATCGGAAGGAAGACCATCAGTTAGGTTATTAACGGTCATGCAGAAGTGGCCATGTATTTAATCCAAATAACCATAGCATTGCATTTTAAATAAAACAAATAAAATGTGGATTTTTGCTTCACTTTATACATAATTTTGCCCTGATTTCCCAAATTATTTACTCCTCTAACTCTTAGTTAAAATCTCTGGTTATTTCTATGCCAAGAGCAATTATTTTCACCATTATGCTTTAAAATCATATTAAGATATGTGGGTCAGTGTTGATATTCAGTGCTATGTACAATCAGTTATGTTTCTATTAAAAAAACATAAAAATGCAGTAAAAAAAATTAAATTTCTGGGGGTAAAATACTATTGGGATGTAGAGGGGAAAATGTTCAGATACTTACCACACTTCCAACACCAAATGTCTGCTGAATTTAAACTCTAACGTTAGATTTTTAAGTTTGCAGGTTCTGCATACTCCTCGTAAACTTAGGTAATTTTAAACAATTATATAGGAGAAAGACTCTGTCTTAGTCCATTTTCTTTTGCTATTACTGAGTGCCTGAGTCTGGGTAATTTAGAAAGAAAGTAAATTTATTTCTTCCATTTCTGGAGCCTGGGAAGTCCAAGGGCATGGTGCCAGCATCTGGTTGGCTTCTGGTGAGGGCTTCGTGCTGCATCATAACATGGCAGAAAGCATCACAGGGCGAGAGGGCGATGCCACACAAGGGACAGCCACACTGGCCTTTATAACAGACACCCTTAATCTGTTAGTCCACAAGTGGATTAATCCATTCATGAGGGCTCTGCTCTGACCCAATCATCTCTTAAACACCCCATCTCTCAATACTGTTACATTAAGTTTCAACATGAGTTTTAGAAGGGACAAACATTCAAACTATAGCACAAGTGGATTAATCCATTCATGAGGGCTCTGCTCTGACCCAATCATCTCTTAAACACCCCGTCTCTCAATACTGTTACATTAAGTTTCAACATGAGTTTTAGAAGGGACAAACATTCAAACTATAGCAGACTCCAAATACATGACCTCTTTTGGAGGGGAAAAATGATCAATCGTTTCACTCCCCAAGATGTGTGCTACTGCATCCCCCACAGGACTGGAGAACCAGCGAGGAATTAATTGTAAGACCTTTATAACTCGGTAGGAGGGACTGGGTACAAGTTTGTTTCATAGATAGCCATGCACTGAGAGAGTTAGCGGTGCTTTGTTGAAAATACGTTTGCAGTAATTTTGTTCAATAGCACGCTCATCTTTGGGGGGGGGAAAGGTATTATAAAAATAAATAATAATGTCTAATAGCAAAAAAAAAAAAGTTCCTTTAAATAGATAAGCTCTTTTCTTCCTCTTTCATCTTAGGAACGTCACATGACCGTTCATGTACGTATCCACACTGGAGAGAAACCATTTGTCTGTCCTTCCTGTGACAAAGGTTTTCGACAGAAGCCACTTCTAAATGCTCACTTCAAGAAACACCATGATTCAAATTTCATCCCGACTGTTTACGAATGTCCTAAGTGTGGCAAAGGCTTTTCCCGTTGGGTAAGCTTATTTAAGTCACAGTAAGTTCTCCATGAAAAAATTCTTGTATCTCAGAAGGACAGTGTCACACTGGTAGAGTTTAAACCTGATTAGAAAACTTGCCAGGACTTATGATAGCATTTTTTGATGTCTTAAAAAAAAAAGTGGTTATCGGTTTTTTGGAGTCACAGAACTCTTGAAGAATCTTTTGAAAGTGTGATCTCTCCTCCCCCTTAAAAAGGACAATCCAACACATGAAATCAGGCAAATAGTTTTAGGGGGTTCTCAGACTCCCTAAAGAACCCCAGCTTTTAGTATATTTTTAAATGGTTCCTGTGAACTAGATTTAGGCTTCTTCACAGAGAGAATGCAATTTTCAAATATTTCTTAGATGTTCTTAGAGTAGTGCTGTTGGAACTGTGCTAAGAAATAGATTTACTCTTCAGTTTTATCCATTTAGGTGTTGTATAAGTTATGTATTTCTGTGTAACATTACCTCAAAACTTAGTGGCTGACAACAACAATTTATCATCTCACAGTTTCCGTGGCTCAGGAATTTGGGAGTGGCTTAGCTGGGTGGTTCTGGCTCAGGGTCTCTCATGAGGTTGTAGCAGGATGTCGATGGGGGCTGCTATATCCAAAGGCTGGAGTGGGGCAGGAATGTCCATTCCCAAGATGGCACACCAACGTGCTGTGGGTGCACAGCCTTGGTTCCTTGCCATGAGAACTCCTCCTGAGGGCTGCTTGATCGTCCTCATGACCAAGTGAGAGAGAACAAGAAGGAAGCCACAGTGCCCTTTGCAATCTAGTTTTAAAAGTGACACAAAATTATTACTGTTCACTAGAAGTAAATCACTAAGTCCAGCCTACACTCAAGGAAGGGGGCGTGAAGTACCTTTTGAAAGGAAGAGTATTGAAGAACTTGTAGACATTTTAAAACTGCCACGGATGGCTAACTAGATCCCTGGACAACGTATGCTCCAGCCCAATTTATAAATGTTTTGAATTATCTGAAGTTCACTATTTTTATAAGGGAAAACTTAATCTTTTCTCTTAAAAGAACATCGTAGGGTAGTTGTGTTTTTCTGAGTAGCCTAGTGGGATAGTTCTGGATTGTTAACCCTATTAGTTCAAAATTTCAGATAAAAGTGATGGCCTCACTCTCAAAACAGTATCACTCATACTGAGTTAGCATTTTAAAGAGTTGAAATTAAACAGTAGAATTCTAAAGAGTAGAAACTGCCCTTTGATGCAAGAAACAAGAAAGAAAAGAATGAGTTGGTCTCATACAGCCCCTCGGAACAGAAAACCAGAAGTTTTGAAACATTTTTCTTCCATTCAAGAAAGCATATTTGGACTTGTTTCTAGAATATATAAAGAACTCTTAGAACTCAATAATAAGTAGACAAATACCCAATTTAAAAACAAAGAGGGCTGGGGCCGGCCCGGTGGCGCACTGTAGCCGTGTGCCGCTTGGGAGCACGGTGGCGCTCCCGCCAAGGGTTCGGATCCCACATACAGACCGGTTCTCGCTCACTGGCTGAGCGAGGTGTGGGTGCGACACGGAGGGTTGCGATCCCGTTGCTGGTCCTGGTCCGGTACGGGCGCAACACTGAGGGTTTCAATCCGTTGCCGGACATGAAAAAAGACAAAAAAAAAAGGAAAAAAAAAAAAAAACAAAGAGGGCTGGACCGTGGCTCACTTGGGAGAATGTGGTGCTGATAACACCAAGGCTGTGGGTTCAGATCCCTATACAGGGATGTCCGGTGAGCTCACTTGGGAGAGCGTGGTGCTGACAACACCAAGTCAAGGGTTAAGATCCCCTTAGCGGTCATCTTTTAAAAATAAATAAATAAATAAAATTTTAAAATTTTAAAAAGTAAAAAAAAAAAACCAGTCAAAGGATCTAAATAGACATTTCTCCAAAGATGATGTACAAATCACCTACAAGCACATGAAAAGATGCTCAGTATCCCAGTCACTAGGGAAATGCAAATCAAAACCACAATGAGATGCCACTAGGACCATCCATTAGGAGGGCTATACTTTAAAAAGACAGACAATAACAAGTGTTGGCAAAGATGTGGGAAAACTGGAGCCCGAATACATTGCTGGTGGGATTGTAACATGGTGAAGCTACCTTGGAAAGTGGCAGCTCCTCAAAAAGTTAAACATAGAGTTCCCATATGACCCAACAATCTCACTCCCAGATACATACCCAAAATAATTGAAAACATAGGAGCACACAAAAACCTGAACACAGATGTGTATAGCAGCATTATTCATAAAGGCCAAAAGAAACTACCCACATGTCCATCAGCTGATGAATGCACCAAGCATGGTCTGTCCACACAGTGGAATATTACTCAGCCACAAAAAGGAATGAAGGACTGACACCTGCTACAGCATGGATGAGCCTTGACAGAAGCCAGACCCAGAAGACTGCATGTTGTATGATTCTGTTTATGTGAAAGGTCCAGGATAGGCAGATTCATAAGGTCAGAGAGTAAATTAGTGGCTGCCAGGAGGAAGATAGTGAGTGCCAATAGGTATGGGGCTTCTTTTTGGGGTGAAGAAACGTTCTAAAATTGATTGTGATGATGTTTGCACAGCTCCGTGAATAGATTAAAAACCACTGAATTACACACTTTAAATGGACGGATTGTATGATATGTGAATTATATTTTTTATAAAGCTGTTAAAAAATAAAAAATAGCATATCTTGCTCCTTGAATCCAATTTAATTTTTAAAAAGTAAATTATTCACAAACTTCCATTCTTTAACATTTGGTAGTCACAGATGATCTCCATACCAGAATATCCCCCAAAGAGCCAAACCCTCTTTCTTCCCAGTAAGGACCCTGCTCTGGGCGCAGAATATTGGGCTCCGCCTCTCCTGAGAAACTTTTGTGACACAGGTGTTTGTCATATTCACTCTCTGAGTCCAAAATAACCTAAATGTTATATTGGTTTACTTAACATCTTAATCCAATTATTATTTTTTTTTGGTTAAATTTTTATTTTGTCAGTATACAATGTATATGATTATTATGGCCCATCACCGACACC